GCAGATGATAAAAAACTAGTACCAAGTGAAAGTATTAAATATGCTGTGTATGGGACGTTGTGTTTGTCTGAAAAAGCATTGAAGTGATACTGTAATCTGTGATTCCATTCCTAACTATGGAATAAAATCTACCCTGTTACTTGAAGGTCACTTCATTTGTCTGAGATTAAAAACAAATTTCTCTGAATTTATGCAATAATGCAGTTGAGTAAAAGGGCAGTCATGGGTTCACATTGGCCAGAAACTGCAGTTAGTCAGTATAGTAGGAATAAGAGTAACAATGAAAGAAATAGCATTACATGTGTAAGATTAGTTTTTTCCCTTGAAGTATTAACTTAAAAAAAGTCAACAACAGTGGAAAAAACCGTCTTTGGAGAGCTTTGAAAACCAAGAACAATTTACCTTATACCTGAGGGTAAAATAACAGTTTAGTCTCATGGAGTAATAAAGAACTCTCAGTCTACCTGTGGAGTACTTACATTCACTGAAAACATGTATATGATATTGCTATAAGCTACACTGAAAAAAATAATCTAAATATTAATTATTAAATAGTCATTCTCAGTTTGAAAGAGGAAAAGCCCTTGATTTAAGATTTCTAGTTAGGGGGGATTCCTGGGTGGCTCAGCAGTTTAGCACCTGCCTTTGGCCCAGGGTAGGATCCTGGAGTCCTGGGGTCGAGTCCCAGGTCAGGCTCCCAGCATGGAGCCTGCTTCTCCCTCTGCCTATGTCTCTGCCTCTCTCTTTCTCTCTCTGTCTATCATGAATAAATAAATAAAATATTTTAAAAAAACTGGTGTGTAGCATGTGTACTATTTAAAAAAAAAGATTTCTAGTTAGGGTCATTAGTTTACAATGTAGCATGTTATCTTTGCCATCTGCTTGTCTTCCTCTGAAGCAAATGAATCTCCTCTTAAGTAACACTATAGAATACTGATTCTCTGTGTCCTTGTCCGCTTAACCAAGGTCTTATCAAATGGCCTGCTGAAAGAAGCATATTTATCTACTACAGTTTGAATAATAAGCATTCATGTACTGTGTAGAGATCCGGATTGAATTGATTGAGCTTTCTTTTAGGTTTAGCTTATAAAATGCTTAGAAGATTTAAAACTCATTTTTAACTGTAACATTGACTGTTCTGTGCCACATATTTGTATTTTCTCTTTGAACTTTGACCTTTTATTGTTTTCACTTTAGTTTTTCCCAATTTTTAAAATGTTATTTTTCTAACTACCTCAAATTTTTATTATACTCTCCTTTATTATAATATGATAAAATCGTTATAGCAAATGCAATGATTTTTCTTTCTTTAAACTGTGATTCAAATGCTACATGTGGTTTTCTTGTTGAGAACTTATGGCTAAGTTCTTAGAGATTTTCTTTGTAGGTAAGGCTTAGATGTAAATGTTTTGGAATGAATTGAGGGCAAACCTATCAGTGTCACAGTTTGAATTTTTTCACACCTTTTTCCTTTTACATTACTATAAATGTATATGTAAAATATTATTTTAAATGTAGAATCATATTATGCATATTCCTTTTGTTACTTAGTCATAAAAAACCTTTTATCAGTGCTGAAATAGATATAGCTCATTTGTATTAATAGTTGTATTTCATTTAACTGTATATATCATAATTAAGCAAAACATTCATTTGCAGTCATTTAGATTACTTAGCCTTTTTGCTCCAGTAAACAGTACTATAATATCATGCAGGTGAGTATTTTTTCTATGAAGGAAGAAACCTATATATAAATAGTTGTAGCCAGAGGGACAGCTTTTGGCAGGCATGACTGACCACCTAAGAAAATTTATTTTTCCCTTCTCATAGTAGAGAAAGTCCAAGGACAGTACTGGCAAATGGAGATTCCATGTTTCTACTTCCCTTGCATTGAGATGTTGCTAGTTAACAAGTTCATGCCAATGAAGTATGTTACCCAAAGTGATATGTATGATTCCCAAGCTTGGATTGTAGAAATCTACTATGCTTTTCTGTGTGTTCCTCTTCCATCAGCTGGATATTGGTTTTTCAGGGTCAACCTTAGAAGCTTCTTATAGAGGATCATAGAGCTTCTGTCAACTTAGGTCCCACAATGATTTTGTGACTATAACTTGTAATTTAGATATTGAGAAGCTGTGACATTCTCTTTGACAGACTGTAGGTATGTTATCGTAAGTGTTCTTTGTGGGAGTGCCTGATTGGCTTAGTTAATACAGCATGCAGATCTTGATCTTGGGGTTATAAATTTGAGCCCCACATTGGGTGTAGAGATTAAAGAAACAAGAAGTGTTTTTACTGTTAATCTTGCAATTATACTGCACTTATCTTTCCCTACTACTTAAATAAGGACCGCTCATATTGAAATGTAATATGAGTTTCTTAAGGTGAAAGTTTAAATCTTTGAATTAGACCTTTCTTTTGTAAGTATTTAAAGCTATATACCTCTCTCTAAACACTGTTTTAGCTATATACTACACATTTTGATAATGTGTTTTCTTCATGATGTGTTCTTCATGATGAATTTATCACCTTATTAGTATAAAATGCTTTTTTATATTTGATACTCCTTCTCTTGATTTCTACTTTTGTCTGATACAAACCTAGTCATAAACAGTTTTATTATAGTTGAAGTTTGCAAGTAACATTTTTTCATTCTTCTGGTACAGCCTATCTGTTCTCTTGTATTTAAAAGTGTGTCTCTTGTAGATATCATGAAATTGGGTCTTTTTTCCAGTCTGAATAGTCATTCAGGAGGAATGTTTAGTCCATTTATTTGGCTTTGTTTAGTTTCCTTAGTCTGAAAAGTTTTTATTTTGCTTTTATTTGAAAGAGTTTTTTTCTAGATTAAAAATTCTGCATTTTTCTTTCCCCTCACTTTTTATTGAGATATAGTTGACATACTACCTTCTGTAAGTTTAAAGTGTGTAACTTTCATTTGATATATTTATATATTGTTGAGTTTTGCTAATATTTTCTTGAGCAATTTGCATCTGTGTTTATCAAGGATATTAGTCTGTCATTTTCTTTTGGCATTTTGGTCTTGTTTTGGCATCACGGTAATGCTTGCCTCATAAAGTGAATTTGGTTCACTTTATGTTCCCTCCTCTTCTGTTAGAAAGGATTTGTATTTTTCTTTGAATGTTTGAATGTAGAATTCATCAGTGAAGCTGACTGTAATGTCGTTTGTTAGGAGGCTTTTGGTAACTTATTTAGTCCCCTTACTGGTAAGTGGTCTATTCAGGTTTTCCATTAGGTAATGATTGAGTCTTGGGAGGTTTTATTTTCTAAGAATTTATCCATTTCTTCTAAATTGTCCAGTTTGTATATAATTATTTATAGTAGTATCTTATGATCCTTTCTATTTTTGTGATATCAGTTTTAACATATTTTATTTCTGATTTTGAGTCCTCTTCTACATGAGTCTAATTTTGTCATCCTGTTTATCTTTTCAGAGAAGCAGCTTTTAGTTTCATTGACCTTTTCTATTATCCCTTTAGTTTCTATTTCACTTACTTGTACTCTCATCTTTGTTATTTTCTTTCTTCTACCTTTGGGCTGTAATTGTTCTTTTTTTCCCCCCTAGTTTCTTAAGGTATAAAGTTGGTTGTTTAAGTTTTATATTGCTTCTTCATGTAAGCATTTATCACTGTGAGCTTCTGTCTTAGAACTGCTTTTGCTTCATCCCATAAATTTTGGTATATTAAATTTCCATTTTCCTGTGTCTCAAGGGAAGAAGAAAAGGAATAGAGAAGAACTAAAAAGATAGCTAGAAAATAATTAACAAAATGGCATTAAGTACATACTTATCATTAATTAGTTTAAATATAAATGGACTAAATTTGCAAATCAGAAGACATGAGGTGGCTGAATGGATAACAAAAAGAAGAGCCATCTACATGAGAGACTCACCCTAGATGTAAGGACTCATATGGCCTGAAAGGGTGGCAAAAGGTATCCCATGCAAATGGAAACTGGAGGAAACCTATACTTATCCCATCCAAATTGGATTTTAAAAACAAGGATTGTAAAAAAATAAAAATAAAAAAAAGAACAAGGATTGTGTTACGAGACAAGAAATCGTGTTACAGAATGATAAAGGGGCCAATCCAATAAGAAGATACAACATTTGTAAATATTTATGCACCCAACATAGTAGCAGCTAAATATGTTAAGAAAATATTAAGAGACCTAAAGGAGAAATGTACAGTAATACAATAATGGCAGACTTTAATATCCTACTTACATCAATGCAGAGATCATTTATACAGAGTCAATAAGGAAACCTCAAATGACAGGTTAGACTAAATGGTCCTAACAGATATTTGCAGTACATTCCATCTAAAAGAACAGAATACACATTCTTCTCAAGTTCACATGGAACTGTGTTCCAATATAGATCTTTTGTTAGGCTGGAAAACAAGTCTTAATGAGGGTCAGAGTCACAGCAAACATATTTATTTTACCTCCACAATAGTATGAAACTAGAAATTAATTACACGAAGAAAACTGAAAAATCGATAAATCTGTGGAGATTAAACAACATGCTATTTAACAATCAAAAGAAATCAAAAGAGAAATAGAAAAATAACTTGATCCATCATTTTTTAAAATAAGCTTCCTACATTTTCTTCTTCTCATTTCTCTTTGGGACTTCAATGATGTGTATGTTATTTCTTTTGTTGGTATGCCATAATTCCCATAAGCTTTCTTCATTTCTTTTCACTCTTCTTTTTCCTCCTGTATTTAGATAATTTCATTTGATCTGAATACTAGTTTACTGATGCTCCTTTCAGCTTATTCAAATTCATTGTTGAAACTCTTATTTAATTCTTCATTATAGTCATTGTATTGTTCAGCTCCAAAACTTCTGTTGTTCTTTCTTATGTTTTCTTTCTCTGTTGGACTTCTCATTTTGTTATTTTTTTCTGAGGTATTTTTTTTCTGATATCTTTGTTTATCTGTGTTCTCTTACAGCTCTCTTGAGTAGCTGTATAATTTTTTTTAATATGGAATGCTTAATGAGTTTGCATGTCATCCTTGCATAAGGGCCATGCTAATCTTCTCTGAATAATTTCAGTTTTAATATATTTGCTGCAGAAGCAAGCACAAAAAACTATTTTGAATTTTATGTCCAGCAGTTTCTGGATCTGCATTTCTTTGGGCCAGTTACTGAAGGTGAACTGTATTCCTTTTGTGGAGACATAGTTCCTTGATTCTTCATAATCCTGAAGTTGTGTTTTCATCTCAGTGCATGAAGAATCAGTTACCTCTCCCAAACTCATAGACTGACTTCCATAAGAGAAACCTTTCACCTGTGTGTGAGGGCACACTTTTAATTATGCAGTGACCCTTGGTCTGCTGGTGTAAGGTGAGAAATGTGGGTTGTGGTGGCACTGGGTCCAGGAAGGTGTGGTATCTTTTTGGCTCAGGCCACCAGTTTCCACTGTATTTACAACTGGGTGGTCTTTAGTGAGGACTGTGGAAGATCTGCACTGGCTAAAAGGGCTGTTTTGGTCCTTAGAAATACCTCCAGGTTTGGTAGCTAGGGACCAAGGAAGACCTTGGAGGTGGCAGAATCAGTGGTGTGCACATACTCAACTGTGATTGGAGCTTGAGTTGGGGGAGGGGGGTCGGTATGTAATCACACAGCCTGGAGGAGCTAGGTATGGGTAGGCAAAGTGGTACCAGACAGTGACAGAAGGTGGGGCCTGATCTGGGCCTACCAGCAGCTGCAGGATTTCTTGACTTCTGGTACACTTAACAGTGGCTGCATATTTCCTTAGCCTTGTTGCATGCATGCATGCTGCATTGGAGGCCAGTGATAAGTGTTAGGCCAGTGGTGCACAGTTAGGGCCTACTTCTGAGGCCCTCAGAGAGTGTTCATTGATGAGGGAGTGGTGTTAGGCTGGTGTCTCATACTCACCTAGCTGTAGAATCTCAAGTTGGCTGCTTATGCAGCTCCTTGCCTCCCTCCTGTGGGAGTGTAAGAGGGACTGGTGTCTTATGCGTATGTAGCTATAGAGATCCTGCACAGCTGTGGGGCAGATCAGGTTGGTGGTAGGGGAAGGTTTCTGGGAGAGACTCAGGCAGCTGGTTTCAGCTAACAAAAATACCTATGGGGAGAAAGCTGGCAGGATCTGCAGGAGTCCACAGTGGCTGTGCTAACCTTTGACTTTGTCAGTGGTAAAATATGCAGAATTTGTCTATAGAGCAGATCTCTGTGAACCACGATTGCTCTTGGTGCTTGTTTGCTATTAATAGCTTCTCTTTTACTGTTGTTCTAGCTGGCTCAGTACATCTATGGGCTACTGATCTAGATGGGGTGAAACCAAAACTGGACCTCTGCAAGTGCCCTGCAAGGCTGGGGGAGCCAGTTGCTCACCACACTCTTACTTTCCTAGCAAGAAAAACTCTTTTTAACTAGGGAGTTCCTTCAGAGCACCGTGAAATGTGTTAGTTTGGAGGATGGGATTATGCAGGCAAAGTAAAGTTGCCTTCCTTCTCTTGTGTGATGATTTTCACTTATTGTTAAAATATGCTAAGTGGACTGTAGAGGTCTCCTGAATCTGTTGTTTGTCCAGTTGTTGATCTTTGTGGGTCCAGGAAGGTGATCTTTGTGGGACCACAGGGAACTGATGGTAGGGTTTTTTTTCTTTCAGTACTTTAAATATGTCTTTCCAATATCCGTTGGCTTTCATTTTTTTGATGAGACGTGTGCCGTATTTCTTATCCTTTGTCCCCTTGTATGTACCTTATGGCTACGTAAAAATATTTTTTCTAGTGAAGATTTCCCACAATTTAATTTTTTTTTAAAGATCTTCTTTATTTATTCATAAGAGACACAGAAAGAGAGAGAGAAGCAGAGACACAGGCAGAGGGAGAAGCAGGCTCCATGCAGGGAGCCCGACGTGGGACTCAATCCCGGGTCTCCAGGATCAGGCCCTGGGCTGAAGGTGGCACTAAACCGCTGAGCCACTGGGCTGCCCCCCACAATTTAATTTTGATGTGTTTTATGTAGTTTTATCCTGCCCCCCTAGGCCAAGGTCTTATATATTATGAAATACTATTTAATCCACCCAACTATGCCCATACTTGGCAATGCCTCTAACAAGCACCAGTGTCTGCCAATTTAAGAAGGCTTTATCTCTCTGGAGTTTAGTTCTTTATATTCTTTTCCTTTTACCCCTCTCTGATAACTTTTAAAATGTATAACTTTGTTTCCTTTCAGATGAATAACCAATTATACCAGAATCATTTATTAAATTAACTACTGCTTTTCCTCAGAAATTGAAGTAACTCCTTTGTCACAGCTTAAGTTTTATATATACCTGGATTTATTTCTGTGCTCTATTTTCTTATATTACTTTTATAATCCTGCATTATTTTCAATCTATATTGTTTTCAATATCTTTGTGTTGAATTTTAATATTTATAATGCAAATCTGTGTTCACTCGTATTATTCAGAATGTTTTTGGGTTCCTCACACATAACTAGTGGGATAATAAAAATTGATATTGTCACTTTGGGAGTTAAAATTTGTTCACCATCTTCAGAGTGTTTTCACAGTGCTGGGCCCCATGTAGAAGTGGAGAAATGGCTTCCTCTTTAGTTTTGTGTCATACTTCCTTACCTTGGCCAAAAAGCATGAAAACTTTTCTGCTTGGGCCATGAGTCTTAAAATCACTTGACCTGCTTTATCCACCATTCTTAGTCAACATGTTCTTGACACATTATTCAGCAGAGCTGAACCTTGAACAAATAACATGGCATGCTTTCTTTTTCTTTTTACCCTCTTCTACAGCCATAATATTCTAATTTTCTGTTTACTTTTAAAGTAAAACCTTCCAGACACTAATGTGATGAGACAGAGAAACAGTGTTATATACATCAGAATTAAAAAGAAAATAATAAAAGTCCTTTCTTTTTCATGGAAGAAGGGAATAAGATTGCTCTTCAGTAGAAGAGGTCATTAAAGAAGGCATATGTTCAACCAGAATGGTTAAATTAATAGGACTGATAATATATATAGTATTGGTAAGGAAATGGAACACCCAATATCATAATACTACTTATGGGGTATAATTTAATACACCGGTTTTGGAAAATTTTTTGACTTTGTCTACTACCCATCTACACGCATGTGTTCCGGGTGTTAATAAGTTTGTTACTGGGTATATATACAACAGAAAAAAGTTTATGATGTCCATCAAAATATTTATACAGTCATGTTAATAGCCATTTTATTCATAATAGCCTTAAAATGAAAATAATAATCATGTATTTAAATAGTAAAGTGACAAGTAAATTGTGGTATGTTAATACAATTAGAGGCTACACAGCAATGCAAAGAAAGGAGGTACTGATACACAAAACAACTGGTTCAATTTTGATTAAAAGAAGTCAAACATAAAAGATGATGCTATTTATATGTTTCAAACATTGTCCTGTGTTAAGGAATAATAGTAAACCGTTTTAGCTGGGGATGGTTATTGATTGAAAGGGAGCATCAAGGAGCTGTTTCAGTCTTAGAAAGAAAGGTCTTGTATTTTCATCTTGGTTATGATTACACAGGTGTATGTATTTGTAAAATTTTATCAAGGTGTAACTTAAATTTCATACATCTTGCTGTATAGAATTGTTTTTCCACATAAAAGTAAAAATTATCTTAAAAGTGTTTAAAATGATCTTTATGCATTTTCTCTGATAACCTACCCTACTGGAAGAAACCTCAAACAAAATTGCCTTCAAGTGTACTATTTGGAATCACAGTAAAATTGCCTAATAATTTGGAAAGACTTTATTGATAGAGCACTAAGGCTTTTTTTTTTTTAACTCATTATGTGAAACTTATTTAGGTGATTTTCTGCATCCTGTGAGTTTTTATAATTTTTCCACTTTAACACGTATACCTTTCTTGAACTTATTCTTAGATAATTATAGTTATGAACAGGCTCCTCCTCCATTTATGTTTCCTTTTTTTTCATTTATGTTTCTTATATATTGCCAATATCTAAAAGTTATTTTGTACATTTATCTTTTGTCACTTGTCAAATTTTTTCTATCATGAATCTTTTGAGTCACTTTAGTAGAGACTGTTAGGTGTTTTTTTTCAACTGTTGGAAAGGGAGAATTTTCCTTATTAAGACTTTACTCATTTTTACTCTTAACTAAAAACTTAAAACCTGTGTCAGATAGTTAGGGATACATCCTTGCCTTGATCCTGTTTGGTTTGAAATGTCTTGAGCATTTCAACAACAACAACAAAATATATATATATATATATTTTTTTTTAACAAATATACCTTTGTCTTTACCTTGCTTATATACATTTCATCTGTTCAGTTTTTCTAGAAGTTGTTAAGTTTGGCTGCACAATTTTATTGGATACCATTTTGAGATCTAGTAATATGATCATTTAATTTCTTTCCTTCATTCATAAATTGAATTTTTAAATTTCCTAGTATTGATTCATTTATGTACTCCTGACAAAAATGATTTTGGTTATACATGGTGTGTACTCTTTTTATGAATTAGTAATAGAAGAGATTTTTTGATACTTAATTTCTATCTATATTTAAATGTAGTTTAGCTTTTGTGTTATTTTCACAATGTGGTTTGAATATTACTGTCTAAAATTGTTTAATTATTGTACTAGTCAGATTTGTATTTTGGTCTAAACAAATTTTGAAACTTAGTAACTCATCTTCTAATTACCTTTAAAAATAAAGGAACCTTTAGTTTTATTTGGCTATAGAGAAATCATTTCTTTAAGTAGACACACAGCTAAAATCACAAACTTTAAAAATATTTATTTACTGTATTTTCAGTTTTCTTGAAGTTTTCATTTTTATATATTTTTTTTCTACAGTCCGTGGTGGATGACTGGATTGAATCATATAAACAAGACAGGGACATCGCACTTCTGGATTTAATCAACTTTTTTATCCAGTGTTCAGGATGTCGAGGTACATAATATTGGGATAAATAATGTGCTTTGATTCTGTCAGTGTCAAATTTATTTCACCTTTCTTTAGTTGTATATAATCCATCCTAGAACTATGTGCTAATCTTTTTCTGCTAAAGAAAATTATTATTTAAGGAT